AAAAAGCCATTTGTTGATGAACAGACAGAACCAGGCTCACCTGATTCCCATTCCTGTGAAATAAACAGAAGAGCCACATTCATGAATATTGAGTATCTTGCCTGCCAGAACTGTAACTATCCCTGAATATATTCATACTGTGCTTAGGCTGGACCCAGGAACTGGGAGAGTTACAGCTTGTACTGACAACAAAAATAAATTTGCTCTTGTTGTTTATTCAAGGCTAATTCCCTCATTAGTGTGAGCTAACATTCACGTTCAGGTCAGAAAGAAAGGGGAAGAATTCGGTTTGGGATTCTTTTTGAGCTCATTTGGACCTCTTCCACAGAGCTGTCTTGAAATCTGGAGTCTCTGTGAGTACCCAGAATCTGCTGTGTGAAACAGAAATAGAACCTATTTTCCATCTTAGAATATCTGTCTTTTGAATTTCAACCATTTGAAGACTGAGATTGCATTTTTCTCTATATCGAACACAGCACATCACTCACACTCAATGCACAGAAAGGCAAGACCTAGAAAACACAGAGAAGAAACAACCAGAAATTATTGCTCCTCAGGCTGCAAGAAATAAATATTAACTGAAAAGAAAAACAAAACTAAGAAGAAAGAGTTTGAAGAATGCACTTAAATTTTAATCTGATGTTTGTTTGCTTTCCCTGAATATCAGAAAGCAGCTCTATTTTAAAAGAAACAGCCTCTTGAAATGTTCATTTTACAGTTAATCAAATACACCACTGTATTATATAAATTAACCTCACTCAAAATTAGCTTGTTTTTCTGCTTGTTGGGTATCAGTTCAGATTTATTTGCTATGGACCAAATTCAGCAAAGTACTTAAGCACATGCCTAACTTTGATCATGCAAGCAGTCCCACTGAGACTATTCATATGCTCAGATATATGTACACAGTTAAAGAATTTGCTGGATCCAGCCCTACTTTTCCTCAAGAAAGCATTTATAGACAGAGTTTGTTCTGTTCCAACCACGAAGAGCTTCCTGCAAGTCCATGACAGTGAAAGTAGGGCTGATCACTTGTCACTGGTCACACAGAGCTGTTTCTGTTCTCAATGAGCTGGATTTTATAGTGTGGATTATATTGGAAGGGCCCACCGAGACACTGCATTTCTCAAAGTGAAATGACAGTGGCAAGGGCAGAGGTAGCTGCTGCTAGATCGAGGAGAGGAGGAAATTAAGGAACCTCAGGAACATTCTCTTCTTAGTTTTGGTCAAAAAGGCATCATACTTGGAAAACCAAATACTTTACATAACTAAAAGGTATGTGGGCTTATTTTCTCCTTTCTGTGCTCATTAAGAACACATGTATAAGGCTCTGCATGTGTGTGGCTGTGTGGTTATAAGGATTTCCCTGCAACTAGAATCCAAAGGATGTCTTACTCCTTTCCTGGGGTACCTAAATTACCCCTTTGGCAAAACCAAAGCAGGATCTTTATGGGAAAATTGCTTTCCTACAGATCTGAAAACTTCTCTGGCTAGATCCTCCTTACCCTCCTCCAGCAAAGTGTGGGAAAATGATTGAGTGAAGGTGAATGTGACTCTAATTATTTGGAATTACATTAAAAGTAACAAAGTTAAGAAGTGATTGGGGTGGGCACCAGGAGTGAAGAACTATCACAGGAGAGGCATCCTGCATCAGTACAAAGTCCTGCCCTTGGCTGGTACAATTTAGCATCACTCTGTATTATCTTCCTAACCAATCTTCTGGGAAAACCAGGCATCTTGTTCTTTCACAAAAAGAGAAGCTGGACTGCTGTGTTACATAAGGGAGGTATTTGTACAATTTTAGCCCCATTTCATGGCTGGATTTGAGCCTGATTCCCCCCTTTTTGCTTAAATAACCACTGTCATGTTCCCTGTGCTAGCTTTGGTCAAAGTCTTGGTCAAATGTATGTAATTGAAGCAATACAGAAATTCAGTTTTCTCTTTTTGCCACCACATCACCTTCTGTTAGAAATACGGGTAGTAATTCATGGGAATAAATGGTGTATCAAGTAATATAAATGAAATAACCCGGGGAAGGGAAGAGGGGAAGGGGGTTTCTCCTCTCATTCCATTCAGGTTAAGAAATCCAGCCTGGAGATACACTGCAAAACCGCGGCAGATGGACATTTGTATGAGAAGGAAGGTGTAGCTGCCAAGACAGGGAAGTGGCCAACGACCCTACGCCCAAAGGATGGCACCAGATAAGATGCCTATCAAGGGACCATTAACACCCGAACCCTGAATGCCTGGGTCCGGGAAATCTGGGCGATGCCTATCTGGAGGGCCATTGGCACCTTGGACATGAATGCCTGGGTTACGGGAACACGGGAAGGCAGCGATTCCGCTCTCGGCCGAGGTTTTTGTGCAGCTTGGACAGAGAAAAGAAACCAACTTGAATATGTGAAACTTAGAAAGAGACAAAAGGACTACTAGCCGCGGGCAAATTAAACAGTATAAGAACTGTGTCTTCGAAGCAGTGTGTGTGGACGGGGAGAATCTGGTCTTAGCGAAGACAGGTTCCACGTTCACCCGCATCACTGCCCGGGGTGATACGCTGTCCGTTTTTGGTGGTGGCTGTCCGACTGTTACTACGGTCGCAAAATAAATTTTATCTTTCATATTTTTATTAAAATTGGCTCACTCGCAATTTTCATTTATAACACCTTCCTTCCAAAAGAGTTACATTTTTGATGTACAAAATCACTCTTGAAAATGTATTAGATGCCATCTCTGGACGTCCTGTCATATCAAGCTGTGCAAAAATTGCTCTGAAAAATTCATAAACACTATTTTGAAGCAGTGGAAATGTGTTCCCTTTAGCGACTTCATAACCAAATTGCAGAAGGGAAATAGGAAGACATAAGACATTAGAATATTAAAAATGACAATGCTCAGCCAGCAAGTCAAACACCAGAACAACACTGAGCATAAACATTTTATGCCTTGTGCATGTGCTGAACCTTCAGAAATCTCTTATGTGTGGCCATTAATTTTCCCTCTATAAAGGGGTGCTTTTCATTCACTAAACTTTCTCACAGGAAATTACACAAAAAGTGTATAAAATTATTTGTTGGGCTTGAGAAACTAATAGGTGAGTGAACTTTGAATAGAAAACTCGATGTTTGATGTTGTGGCCCCTGGTTCTGCTGAATACCTGAAGCAGGCAAACAACACAAACTCAATGACTTATTAAGTACTTGTTTTCAGTAAACCATTAACCCCTTCAAAAAGGCTTTTCTCCTCCTAACAATAATTTCCCGGGTCATATGGCTTCAGTAGCTTCCCAGATCATTCACTCCATAAGAGTCTCTGGGATGCCTGAATTTTGGGAAAATTTCTTCCATGAGTTTTACGGCTCCTGTTGTGTTTACAGGCTTCATGAAAAACAAAAGGAAGCAGTGATATATTCTGAGAACAGCAGAATCTTGACAGGTATACTTGGTTAAATATTTTGCAACAAAGACTCTACCTAGAAAATGCATCAAGCTTTTTGGATGATGTCTAACATTTTTGAAAGTCATAGTAAAAGATGCCTAGTGCAAACAAAACTCATCCAGTAGAGTACAGAACTGGTCATCAGCACCAATGCTTTTTCCTTTCATCCCTCAAATGATGGTTTTTTCAGAAGTTTCTTAAACTGAAGGTGTGTGTGTGTGTTTAACTGATCACAGGAAGTACATGGTCCCCAACAGAATAATCTCACAACCTCCACTTCATATTGTGCTTAAGGCTCTTCTAACAGACTGCTTAGCACCTCTTCCTGTGGATAAAAAAGTCTAAACAAAGAAATAAAAGTGACAGCCTTCTGAAGACTTTTTCAGCAGGAACTCTGGAGGTGTGCTTACAAAAAATCTGCTTAGCAAAATGAATCCACGAAGAAATATGTCATCATAATCCAAGATTCAGAACTACTAGGAAAATTTGTACAAACATCCCCCAACCCAAATCTCACAAATATTTATTTGCTTGTATCTAAATTGAAGTTATGCTTGTACTCTTGAAAATGTCCTCCATGTAGCACCAGCACAGAGTTCTGTGGAAGCAAAACCCTGCTCCCCTCTCTGAAGGATCAGGGAAAAAAAAACACCTCCATAAAACACTTTGGGATGCTCAAAACCCACAAGAGGAATAGTGATACTACAAACAAGAAAAAAAGTTGTTTTGATGAGACTCTTCTTTAAATGACCAGTGTGTCCTGGACACGGCACAGGCAGTTTTGGGAATGCCACAAGCCCAGGGAAGAGCTGGGACTGACTGCTGCTGCTCTGCTGCTGCAGCTGCTGGGAACCGAGCACAGCCCCTGCGCCAGTGTTTGCAGACAGTGAAAAATGCCTGTGCATCACAGCGCTGAAGTTCATTTCCAAATAGGTTTCAGATTTTTTTTAATGGTCATTGTCCCAAAACTAATTAAAACTTCATACTCAAAACTTTTTTCCCCAAACAGCCGCTTGCAGTCTTTGCTGCTCTGAGGTTTATGACTTTAATTTTTTTTTCCCCCTTTTCCGGGGAATTTTCCATCATCAAAATCCAAATCAGCAACACAGAACACTGCCTGCCGGCTTCTCGCATCCCGGTTCAAATAAGCACCAAAGGCATTCTTGTTTCTTCCAGAAACAATGGGGGGGGGGGGAATCCCGGGGAAAAACAGAGAGTAACCCGAGGTCTCCGGTGCGCTCGGGGCTCGCCTTGTGCTTTGGGAGGGGGTGTGGAGGAGGGCGGGCGGCCCCGAGCTCCCACCGGCCCGCGGTGCCGGGCACAGCTCTGGGGGTCTCCAGTCAGGCGAAGCTGCAGCGCCGCTGCCTCTCCAGGCTGCTGGGCCGGGGCGGCGGGGGCGGATGCGGCTTTAAGAGCTCCCACAATGCCGTGCTGGCGCCCCAGTTCCGTTACATGTCTCCCCCGGTGAAGGGGAGCGAGGCAGCGGCAGGAAGGAGGCGGAGACCACCCCCCCCCACCTCCCTCCCCATTCCTCCCTGCACTCC